CAGTGGTTGAATAGAGCAGCTATAAGCGTTTTCTTTGAATTAATTATAATGTGTTCAAAAAGGACGAAAGAACAGACAGCTGTTCCATCTGCTACTCCTGTACAGACCAAGTGTAGGAAATACTAGAAAAATAAATATATTGGATTCATTTACTGTTTTTTTTTCCAGAAATGTCAAGCTGTGGCAAGGCATAGCTCATTTTATTTTTATTGGTAGAGTAAGGTACTGGAATCAATGTTATCGTGTCGGGATTTTTCTGTAGTGAAATCGTAAAATTTTCATTATATGACTCCCACATAGGATGGGGAGTTCTTGTGTATTTATACAATTGGCAAGTGTTTAGAGTAGAAGCAAGCTAATCTTTAATTCTTTTGTTTTTGAAGATACTTACCGCGAGATCAGAAGCCCTAACAAGCAACCACCAAATATGATTCGGCAGCCAACAAGCAGCAAATGCCACAACTATCGTAAGCAACATTCGCGTCACTTTCTTCTTTGCCGAAAGGATTTTTTCCTAGGACGAGATGATTTCTTGACAAAATAACATACAAACTACTAAGTTCTTTTTTACCTACCTGATTAGTACTTCGAAGCAGCATCGACGTATCAAAACTGCTCCTAGGCGTTCCGAATAACGTGTTGATCGACATGAGACGAGAAGAAGGTCGAGACAACGAGATTTTCTTGGATCCAGTAATTGATAGAGAATTTTCTTTTCGTTCTTTTTCCTGAAATAATCTGATTTGCATTCGCAAGTTAAATTTCCAAAAAACTGCAAAATGCGTCCTTGTATAAAATTTTTCAAAACTACGTTTTAGTTGAAGCTTAACCTTTAAAGAGTTACTTACCTTAACGGTCAGTCCATTGATGCTAGGCACCCTTGTAACAGAGGAGAACAGCCAATCAGAAAAGGTGGTTATCGGTAATTCTGAAATCAAAAATTCTCCAAATCTGCCAACAATCCCTCTAATTGCATAGCTTGGCATGAAAAGTTCTGAGCGACGCTATTCAATTGTTGCTCGCGTAGCTGGTCCCTGGGGATCTATCC